CACTAAACTATTATTCTTATTCCACTTTGTGCTAGGTATTTACAGAATTATCATGATATATCACTGCTAAATATGTAAATCTTTTTGGAAAGCAATTTTAAAAATAAAATTGAACAAATGAAAAACTCCAAAAAACATTCCACTTTTTTTTTACTGGATTTAAGGTTTTCTTTAGTATTAATCTTAAATTAAATAACTGCCAAATAAACTGGCCCAAAGCAAGCACCATTATTGTAATTTTGAATGTAAATTATATATATATATATATATATTAAATTTATACAGTGATACATTGTACTTCAAATGTTCCAGAGTTTAAATGCTAAATTTGAGAAAAATTCAACAGAGTTCAAATGATGTTTTCTATGTTTGAATTACAAATGCAATGAAAAAATGCACTCACAGTGTAAATGCTGTCTGTTGTGCACCCAGTCATCTTTTGTTGTGGAAGCAACAAAGTCTAAGAGAAAGATTGCAGTACTGATGATTAGGTATAAAGGAACTTATCACAAAGCATGAAAGCAATACACATGCGGCAGATCTGGCAGTCATGTTTAAGATGCCACATGTCAACAGTGTGCAACATTATTAAAAACAAGGAAGCAATAAAAGCAGCAAATGTGGCTAAAGGTATGATGATGTTGACCTCTGGGAGATTGCATGTTATCAAGGAGACAGAAAAACTCCTCCAAATAATCCTTTAGGATATAATATCAGAAGCAATTGGCTTTTGATATTATCTCCTAAAGGATTATTTGTGAAAAAGCCAAGCAGCTGCATTGTGACCTTAAGAAATGGGACATCACCACTCCTAACTAAGTTTGTACAGTAAATGCAATTTTCACTTTATTATACAGTATAGTAGAGCATCGATTATTTGAATATCGATCAACTGAAACGTCAATTAACCAAAAGCTTTCCAGTTGGCAAATTTAAATTTCCGCTGGTGCTGTGGCACTGCAATCTTTGGTAATGTCTTGGGCTACCCCAATATTATTTTTGTTGGTGTCTGTGTTTTAGTTGGCAGCACTGGCGTGACCATGAGAGGGTACTTAAGGATGTGCCAGGATTTGAACAAATTTCAACATGGGATAGGTTAATATAATTTTTCATACATAATCAGTTATCCGAAAAATAGATTTTCCGAACAACCCCAGTCCCCAATTGATTTGGATAATTGATGCTCTACTGTATTTATATATTTTTATTTATTGTTTTCATGCTTCAATTTATTATTTGAGGCATTTAATTGTGTTACTTTACCTTAAATTCTGTGTATTTGTTGTTTATTGGAATGAGTATTGTTTAGGGTCTGGAGAACATTAATTCACTTTACATTATTTGTAATGGGGAAAACTGATTTGGACTTCAGACAATTCATAGTTTGAATAGTCTCCTGTAACAAATTAAATTTGAAGTACAAGGCACCACTATATATTTAAAATGATATATAATTATTATATTAGATAAAAAAAAAACAAAGTAATTAATTTACAATATTGATTTATTTTTAGTGAAAAATTAATATATCTGAAACTTTAAGGATAGCTGGCCTCACTTGATCACCAATAAAAAAAATGTTCAAGCAGAAACTAACTTGTTATAGGAAACAACAGTATTGTCAAAAGAGGATGACATATGCATTACCAAAAATAGGCAAAATTTCAAAATAATATAGAAGTTTAAGCAAACAAACATCAAAGTTTAGTCTAAACACCAATCGTATGCTGAAAATCTATCGGGCTAGTTTAAGGCTAATTACTAAATCAATTACGTAACCAATTTGGCTCTAGAGGTAAGCGTTAGGCGCCATCTCTTATTAACATTAATAATTATAAAGAAATAAATTAATTTTAATAATTTAGAACCGCTGAGAGAAAAAAAAAGTGCTGTGTGGGACGTGGGCACTGAATGTGTCCCCAGCTGGCGTTGTAACAACCGTCAATGGTTATATAGTTAGCTTATATACGCTGGAAGAGGAGATTGGACTGGAGGTCCGGATAGCGTAACTGGCAACGCATCTGCACGGTAAGCAGGAGTTGTGGGTTCGAGTCCTGCTCCGGGCCGATTTTTTCTCCCAGCGATTCTAAATTATTTAAATTAATTAATTTATTTATAATTATTAATGTTAATAAGAGATGGCGCCTAACGCTTACCTCTAGAGCCAAATTGGTTACGTAATTGATTTAGTAATTAGCCTTAAACTAGCCCGATAGATTTTCGACATACGGTTGATGTTTAGTTATGTTATATATCAGGTTTAGCAATGTTTGTACAATGTCATGAATGTGCTAAGCATCATAAAATAATGTATTCTATTTAACTATTATTCATTTCATATAAGTAGAAATGCAATCTTTATTAAGAGAATAAATGCTAGTTTTATCAATTTTATTGTCATTATTTTGCCAACTGTAAAGACAGTAAATGTGCAGAACAGAATAAAACTCATTAAAACAGCCTCACAATTATAATTATTAAAATACGTGGGGGCTTCAAAAAGTTTGTGGAAAAAGTCCATAACTAACAATTGTTTGGAAGGATTTTGATTTCAATGCACCTGAATATTCTTGTACCAACGTGTTATAACATGTTCAAACAGGAACCCTTAAATGCAGGTGAGAACACAGCATCATCAGTTGAAAGTCAGGCACCATTCAAGCAACATAGAATCCACCAAAATCAAAACCAGAACAAACATAAAGTTTATGGTGAAACTTGGTTGGGAGAATAGGCAAATCATTGATGCTCTAGAACAAGTTTATGGTGATAATGCTCCAAAGAAGTCAACAACCTATGTAAAGTACTATATTATTTTTCCGACTTTCCAACGATTATCGACACTAATGTGTGCCGGAAATAGCCGTTCCCTAACGGGTACTTTACGCGGATTCGCGTTAGTGTGCCAGGCCTGGACTTTAAGCGTGCACTGAATTAAATAATGACAAAGTTTGTCAATAACAAAATCAAATATTTAATTAAACTTCTAGTAATAAACTATATACAGTATTTAGTAAAAATCAAACAATAATTTATTCAATGAAATTCAACAAGAATCAATCCAACAAACTCAAATCAATCTATTTCTAACTTAATTCTATTCCCCTTTGGATTTGACAAAATCAAAGAATTAACTTATAAACAATAATTCTTATAATTTAAAGATCCTAATCGTCACCTCAATATACTAGGAACCTATTTCCTCAAACTCTCAAGACTTTCTATAATCGNAATATTTGATTTTGTTATTGACAAACTTTGTCATTATTTAATTCGGTGCACGCTTAAAGTCCAGGCCTGGCACACTAACGCGAATCCGCGTAAAGTACCCGTTAGGGAACGGCTATTTCCGGCACACAGTAGTGTCGATAATCGTTGGAAAGTCGGAAAAATAATATAGTACTTTACAATACTACTATTTTAAATTATTTTAATTATGTTAATTATTATCTGATAAGTATATGACACATACCATTTGGTAAAGTAACCATATCATTTTCTTCTGAACATTGATACTATGCAGATCATTCAATCTAACAGAACTAAATGTGTTGTGTTTTTAGGTCTGCAACTTTTATTATGAAACAATTTTTGATAAAAATATTTTCAATTTTTCTGACATAACTTTCTAATGTAGTCACAACCAAGAACCAAATTAGATTTTAATCAATTATTATTCACTTTACTTTTAATATGTCAATGCTTATTGATTAACTTATGGCTCTAACTTTTGATCCTTGGTTTTGAAAACAGACACTAAACTATTATTCTTATTCCACTTTGTGCTAGGTATTTACAGAATTATCATGATATATCACTGCTAAATATGTAAATCTTTTTGGAAAGCAATTTTAAAAATAAAATTGAACAAATGAAAAACTCCAAAAAACATTCCACTTTTTTTTTACTGGATTTAAGGTTTTCTTTAGTATTAATCTTAAATTAAATAACTGCCAAATAAACTGGCCCAAAGCAAGCACCATTATTGTAATTTTGAATGTAAATTATATATATATATATATATATATATATTGTATACATATATTAATTCATCACCATATGATCTACATAGTTGTAAAGAACCAGCTATATAGAGTTCATACAACTGATCTTTATGTCAAGTTAATCATTAATATATCTCACGACCTACTCTATAAGAGGATAAACTCTATGAACTCTGAAAACAATTGCATTATATAGAGTTCACCTTATAGCAATTGTAATCTACTTCACCTCCTATAGAAGTTTCTCTCACTGTGTCAAAAGCTAAATGGTTATAAGTAATCAAAAATATATTCTTGAAAAATGTATCAAATGATAGATCAAAATAACTTTAAAACTCCTAAACAATATAAGAACACATTGAGAAATAATTTTAAATACAAAATTCAACAAAAACAAAATCAATTTTAGTATAGAAAAAATTACTTTTTATTATTAAAAATATAAACTAATTTAGCCTTTAAAAAGGACATCATAAAATGTTTTTAATAGGATAAAAATTTTTAAAACTATAAATTGCTTCGTCATCAAAAACTTTCAATTATCGTACTTTAATAGATTAGAATGCTAGATGTTAAGAGTTTACAATGCTTTAATTATGAAATAAAAAAATAACTTAAAATTAAATTGAAAGAAATATTTTTAAATTGAATTAAAAACTGATTTTTTTTCCCCTCAAATTAAAACTTCTGGATTTTTATATTTTTCAAAAGCACTAAACAGGAAAATTTCTTATTTCCAAATTCATGAACAACTCTTAGCATTAAAAATAGTGACTTAACTTTTTAAATTAAATATGACATTAATTTTTCTATAATGTAATTTTACTTCTCGTTTATTTCTATGTTTTCATGCCAAAATGAAAAAATCCCTAATGTTCTAACCTACTCTGCACTTATGTACCATCAATTCACAATGGTTATCACATATTTAAAAAAAAATTTGCATTTTTAGAATTTATTTTAGTTGTTAAAACTTTAATTGGAATATATATTTAAGTCATCATCAAATTTACTTATTATCATTAGTAATTTTATATTATATAGAAATTTGTATATAATACTTACCTTACAAAAATCGATCTGTTGAATTAAAGCATTGATCTCGGGATCGAATAAATCGTGACTAAATATTAATAAAGTCTGTCCGATTCCTTCGGCCTGTCGTAACGATTCGATAAGAGCATACAGATACTGTCCTCTATTATGAACTTGAACAACGATAACAACATCTTTATACAGCAAAGGTCCAAATTTCTGTATATTTAAAACTTTTTGTTCTTTATTTATTTCTTGTATTATTTTTTTTAATTCATATAATGAGGATGGCATAGTATGATTAACAGAGTTTATGATTGCACTAAAATTCGCAAAGAAAGCACTATCCAATTCTCCGTATTTTGCATTGCGGTACAAGAAATCTGGTTTGTAACTAACTATTCGTAGCTGCAGCCATAAGAAAGAGACTATAAATAAAAGAAGCGCAGTCTTCACAACCTGAGTTAGATGTCGGCGCAATAATGCAGTACACAACCGCGCCGTGGCCATTCTTTCATCTCATCTGCAAAAAAGAAAACGATTATTGGGTAAGATAAAATAATTACTTAGAAAGAAAAAGTTACTTCAATATAACTTTAATTATCATTTTATGAAAGTAGTCTTCCTTAATTTAGATTGGAGAACAAGCACTACTCATATAATAAATAACAGCTGTTTATATAATTATCTTAACTATTGAATCTATTAACGTTGATAAATAAAGTACATGTTTAAAAAGATTAAACAGCTGCAGCTTTTCTTGATTAAATTACATACCAAATGCTTTAAAATATTCTATAAATATTCCATGTTAATTGAATTTATTATGTATAAAATGAACAAAAGTATTACTTTAAAATTACATTACATTAATTTAATCAATATTTATGATAAATTATTAATAACTAACTTAAATAAATTTACAGCAAATTACAATTTTCCATAAATTTATTCAAGTTAATTATTAAACATACTTAACACAGAATAAGTGCCAACCGTACCATATTATTTAATAAAATATTAATTTCAATTATCGGAAAACTATGTTTAATGAATACAAAACAATAGGCTATATAGTTGGACCGCATATAGTAATTACGTATTTAAACAATTAATAAATACATATATAAAACTATTTTTATAATATAAATGATATTAGAACACCATTAAAATCATCAATCTAGTTAATATAATAATTTAGAAAATAATAAATCATCATAAAAATTACATTATTACATCTAATTTTTATGATAACACAATCTTAAATATTAATAAAGATATAAAAGTTTATATATTCACGGCCTGCTCATCCATCCGTTCATCTGGAAGATTTCTGAGAAACTACAAGAATTAGACCCAAGATTTTTAGGAATTAAAGAATTGTATTAGATGTAATCTCCTTGTAGAACTTTGTATTGAATTACACACCCATTTACACAACCTCTAGTATTATGTTACAACAATTTCTAACTGCATTGCATCACGCATGTTTAGTATCACCGGTATACCCTACATTCTCAAAAGTAAAAGTCATAGTGTATTGAGTCAGAATTTTCTATTTTACATAAATATTCATAAAATAACTTTATACATGTATAAAGCTGCATTTATACTGTATGTAAAATGTAAAAAGATATCATTACAGCTAATATTTTTTAAAAATTATATCAAACTTTTACATAATGCTACATACAATTTTTAACTACCGTTAGTCAGATTTGATAGGCTCTTTGCAGCAATTTATTCACTTTTATTATACAGTTACATTAAAAGTTTGGTTTAAATCTTCTGCTTTAAGTTACATTAAATAAAGCAATTCACATAAGATGGATCGAAAACTAAGAAAAAAAAAAAAATGTATTTAGAACATAAATCCTAATTCATAAATAATGTGTCTGTTTAGAGCCATAGAAAACGTTTCCTTTTAATATGATTTTGTCATTTCACCTGAGATTTTGGATGAAATTTTTAATAAAAGCTGGATTCAAATAGTTTGTATTTAACTTTTAACAGTTAATCGAAAAAATATAATATAAATATAATAAATTTACTTCTTAAAATGATTAATCTTAGTCCTTGTAAGTTGAAACTTAGTAAATATCCATTTTACATAGTTTATACCTTGGATGCTGTTTGCTTCTTCACTTGCTGATGTATTTGAATAAAAGGAAATTCAAACTGCTTGTCAACAAAGCCAAAAATAAGAATGAATATACTATTATTTAAATATGGTGCCAAGTTTTTTCTTTTTTCTGTTTTCAAGTGACGTATCAGCTTTTAACTACTTAGTTCACAAAACATATAAACTCTACGATAGAAATACAAACTTATCCATTATTTTGGTTAAAAATAGACTCCAAAGTAAAAAGTTTCTCATATGATGGCAAAATAACTGTTTACTGATTACAAAATGATTGAAGCATATTGACAGAATTCTTAGAATTTGGTTAAGTTGTCGCTTGAGATCAATATCTGGTCTCGATTTCTTTTGTCGAATGGATTACACTTAGATTCAATGTTATTTCCTTATTAAAAATAAATCAGCCACTTAATTATCCTTATTTTGTGAAGAGATTAAATAATTCATTTACGATAATATGAGTTACGTTTCTATCTCCCTAAGTGTCTTTGACAAAAATAAAGAAATTGACTTCTCAATAATGTAACCCTCCAAGTAATAAGTTTTTAAAAATTTACATATCAGATAAAAATAATTTATGATTTAAAAATTATTATTTCAATTTGATTTTGGAAAGATTTCACCTCCTGTTTTCATAATTTTGCTTAACTGTTTACAATCACTTAATTAAATAGAGTGAGAAGCAATCAAAATTGAAGGAGTTTATTCCTAAAATAATTTTTTCCATATGTCTTCATTATAAAATAAAAAGTATCTATTCTGTTTTTGTCTTAAAACTCTGGATTATAAAAATAGAAAATCGAAAAATTGAAATTACTTTCATTTCAATCCATAAGAATGACAAAAATAAAACTTCTATTTTTCCTCCTTAGCAATCGATCAAACATATCTTCGGAAGAATAAACTTTGTTTGGAAACAAATTAAACTTTCCTAGCCAATTCATTTTAAACTATATTTAAAATTTAGCTATAAATTTGAAATTTCAAACAGAACAGTCTAAATTTAACCTGACCTTATTTGTCATTTGCTAGTAACATATACATATATTTCATTTTGTTAAAAATAGCAGACACTGTAAGAAATTACAAAGAACTTTTAAAATTGAAAATAAAACTATAAACTTTTTGTCATTTCTTTTTAATCATAATTATCTACTTCACTTGTCAAACTTGGCATTAAACCAAAGTGACCTTACATTGTAATTTACGTAATATTCTATCAATTTCAATAAAATTACACGTAAATATATAATTATAATCATTGAACTTGAGAAACCCGATTTTGCTCGCCTCAAACTTGTTCATTTTTAAATTAATACTCGCCCTATTAGTGTATTAAATGAATTAAAATATAGATCGGAGAAGCAATGAGATGCCAATAATTAAATTAATCTTAGTGGTAATAATTAAAGTAATGGAAAATGAACTCCAGTCTCAGATAAATGTGATTTAACATATACTTACTTAAATAGTAAATTTATACTAAATAAATATGTAAAGTGTGATTTCTAACTGGTAGTTAACTAGTTTAATAACTATAAATAAATAATATCTTTAGGTTTTAATATAAACTAATATCTTTGTCTAGTTAGGCAGCCATCTTTAGGTTTTGGAATATAATATTTAAATGTGAACAGTAATATAAGTTACATATTAAATAAAAATAAATCTTCACAAGTATATAAATATTTTACAAATCAATTAATATTCAGTTAACACTATACACTTACACGCAGGCAACTTGTATATATTTGATAGTTAGAATGCAAATTCGTATTTAATTTTTACAAAGAAATTTCGATTCATCACAAAAAAATATAAAATAGCTATTCAAAAGCAAACGTAAGAAGAGTTATAAAAATAATCAGCAGGGGATACATTCAATTTATTTACTAATAGTCCACGATTCTTAAACAATATAATTGCTTATTCATCCCTCGATTTTGTTGAAAAGAACTCTTTCTACGCAGGATATTTAAATCTCGTGCAGTCGGAAGACCACTTTGATACGAGAAATCCTCTACCAATCTATCGACATCAAGAACTCGCACCAATTCTCATAAATGCATATCGTAACACGTTCCTTCGGCATTATGAACTTCAGACACAATGCATTTTTATAATGTTTTTTTATATTCTCGTTCGACTAGTTTATCTTCTCGTCTCCGAAAGTTCATAACACTGCAAGACGACTTACAATACACATTAGTAATTCCTCAACTACCAAAATATACATTTTTAGATCTTAAACGAGTTAACAATTTAAATCTGCAACATCAGCTTAAACACTATGTAACTGATATTAAGCAATGCTAAATCTAATACAAACCTAGGTTAACATATAAATGACGCCCACTTTCGGTTAATAAAATAAAATAACATTAAACATCTAACGTAGACCTCAAAATTGTAATATTCCGCCCATACCACACTGCCCCAGAAGGGGTCTAAACTTTAAAATATCTGGTCATAAATTATTCGACTGACATTCTTAGAATAAAATAATATTTTCATTGTGCAATCATTTATTTGTCATTGCCTGTAGATAATGATTAATCGAAAGAGGAGCTATTTTAGTTCGGAAATCGATAAAATAATGGACTTTAAAGTGGTTTAAACTGTATTTTTTGCCGATCAACATCGACTAAACTACACATAAACGAAAAAAATCAAGTTATGTAATTGAATACGTAAGTACGAAAGGTCAAAGAACGTTCGTTTCCAGTTACGAGCCTGTATTAGAATTTTTATATATGTATTTAATTATTTATAACTTTAGCTGGAAGCGAATAACTAGTAGCCTAAAACGGAAACTATTTAAAAAAAAAACAATCATTAAAGTTCGATAAATAAAAACACGAATAAAAAAAACAGAACGTATATGTACCGGTTCCAGTCGCCATGTTGTGTAATCAAAAGTAACAGTAGACGTCATTCTCGCGGTAGTTCCGCGCAAGCTTTTTTCGCGGGTAATAATAATAATATTTTTTCAAAAATTTAGATCAGTGACACGTTCTACAACGAACAACAAACCGAATCCTCACGTTTTAATATATAATGCGCATTTTTCTAAGTTTTACAGTAATGGGCAACGAAGCGCGGCAACGTACAATACGATTACAACGTAATGCACGCACTTAACAACGTTTCGCGTGCGTTTGGCTTAGGAAAAAACACATAAAATATGTTTTTAATGGAAATAAGATAACGAATCATTCATAATTCAGGATACACGCGACAAAGCAGTAAAAGTAATATTTATATTATGCAATCGATATATAAACATGAAGCGACGAGCGAAGCGACGTCGCCTCTATCGGTCGCGACTCTACACGAAATTTAGCAGGTTTATTAATCGTAATTTAATTTGTCGACTGTTCGGAATAAACAAATGTTTTATTTCTGTTATAATTTCGTAATTAGATTTTGAAGTTCGGGTAAATTAACAAGGGAAACGGAGAGGGACGTCTCGAAAACAAGATGGCTGCGGCCCACGGTGCAATTTGTTTACTTTTGCCGTTTCGTTATTTTAAATGGATAAACTTTCGTAACATCTTATCGTAGTGACTTTATTATAACGATTCGGTCGAAATTAGCGATCGCATATTTAAAATCGTTTATAAACTCGTATAACGAGAAGAAATTTCGATATAAAGACTATTTTCTCGAATCTAATACATTCTAAATGAGAAAATCGAAAGTTAAAACTTACTAGAGAATGAATAAACGATAAAAAGTCCATTTTCTTCTTGTAAACGTCTTTAAGAACAGCTGTTTAAAGTCAATAGTGACCTTTTTTTTTTATTATTATTTAGCCGTGGCCTAACCGGACGACGAAAGCAACATCCTCTCCACCGCTTCCATTTCCCTAAAACCGCGCCCTCTTACATCCATTGATGAAATCGAGATGGCAACTTCTCCCTCTTTCGACATTCGCTCGAGTTCCGTCAAGCGTTCATAAGATAGAAATTTGCCTTTATTAATAACTTTCGACCGTTTTAAATAATTTTAAAACACTCGACTGGAAAAAATAGTTACGTAACTAGGCGAAATTTATTTTATATCGTAGCGTGGGAATGCCTTATCTGTGGTTAACTCGTTCGGTGTATTTTAATATGGAAACGTCATCTATTAAATTGCTATTTATTCCGTAAACTTGTTTCTGACTTTAAATTTTTTAAAAATGCAAACCGTAGAAGATGAAAAATTCGTGGATGTTTTAAACATTTCTTTTTGTGTGTGTGTGTGTGTGTAAATTATATAAAAATAATGTCTGAAGAATCGAATGTTTTGATTCTCCATGCATTCGATGAGGCGAAAAATGTGAAATTTTACCACATTGCAATAATTAAAATTTTCTTTTAATGTATACTAAATAATGATAAATGTGATTATTTAAACTTTAATTACATTTAGAACTGTATAAATTTACATCACCGATTTGTAGACAATTACATTCGACCCCCTATAACCGTTTTATATGAATTCCATGTTATACGAGTCACTTAGATTTTACAAATACGTGTGCCGGGCTGTGAACGGCTCACGTATTTGTAAAATCTAAGTGACTCGTACAATATGGAATTCATATAAAACGGAATAATCAACAGTGTTATGGGAGGTCGACTGTATAAAGATGCGGTCCCGGCCGTCTCATTGTGGGTTTGTGTCCTCTTAGTGTTCACAATACAAAAAGGATTTTTTAAAAAAATCCATCTTAATGCCCATAGGAAAAAGGCTTTTAAAAAGTTATAAAGATGTAGCATGCTTTCTTTAATGGGAGAGATCGTTCATTTCTGAACGAAGATCTCTCCCACTAGTCTGAAAATGGCCGAACTTGTTTGTATGCTTTGTTCAATAAACTGCATAAGTAAGTATAAAAATTTTAGTAGCTTTCACGTCTGAAACCGGAATTGACCACATATATTATAGTTTTTACAACTAGTAAGAAATTTCGTGAAATTTGTTGTCGTATGACCTAGAAAATCAATAGCTTGAGAACTATAGATTGTACATTCTTGTATATGCCTCGCTGAATTGAAGCTTAATATTAAGGCATGTTCTAAAATTCAAAACTGTTTACCAATGATTGAGAAGATCTAAATTGTCTTCAAATTCAGTAATGAGTGATTCGGGTAATTCTTTCTGAGAACTGATCGGAACAATTATATTTTTGATTTGGATTGCGAAATGATAGAGTCAGCATCTTCAGAAGCAAATATTCTATCCATATAAAAGAATTATTATATATATATTACAATTTTGGATTGTTTCACGGTCGAAGAGTTAGAAATCATTATATAAAATAACAAATAAGAATATACATCGGCAGTAATGAATAGGTAAATATGAATTATTTTAAATTGTATACTGAGAAATGGTAGATTTGTGCATTAAATACACCTACGAATCTATCGTTTGTTCTTAACTAAATAAATAAAATAAAAACCTAATGAATTTTTTCTCGAAGGTGAGAGATTGTGTTTTAAAAATTTATGGCGGGTTAACAGCTTAGATTATAAACGTCAAGAAAGCTCACTTGAGAAATAGAAAATAATTTTTCAGACATTCACATTTAGCGATTCCATTGGCGGCTAACTAATGTTGTAATAAGCACGTGGTGAGGGTTGATTTTACACAAAAAGACAGGTATATAAAATAAATAAGACGTGCTTTATTTTTGTGAACTTATACAGGAAAGGTTCTTGTTGATTCCGACCTCCTGATTCCTTACTTCAAACAAAAGAACAAACAACACCTATTTCGATTCACAGTCGAGCAAGAACTTTCGCGATACAAAGAGATACTTAATTTCTAACTTAAACCTACTTATATCTAAAAAAGAAAAGGAAAAAGAAAAAGAAAGTTTAGATTAGAAGAGAAAAACAGATATATATTTTTAGGAAGGAGCGGGTACCCGAGTTGGTGATTGAGGTGGCGGCTGCTGGATGACTTCGTCTTGGGATTTTTCCTTTTGGGGACGGATCGCATGCGAGAATCGATAAAAATGTCTTTTATATTTGGCTTACCAATGTCCTTATCAAAGCTACTTCTTTCTTACGTGCTCTTCGTGACTCTTTCAGTCGAAGCAACACCGACCTGGAGACCTCTCTCTGACGGTCTTCCCTCTTCTAGGTCCAAAGTACTCACTTAGTCTCTCACTTGCCCTCTGGGCTATTTCTAATCCTTTGTCTCCTAATTAGGTCACCGACCACCCACACTTGGACCAAAGTTCCAGAAAGTATAGACAAAGGAACACAGAACAAAGAAAGAAGGAAAGATAGAAAATCATATATATACATATATATATAAATATATATATATATATATTTTCTCCCACACTGGATAGGAATTAGGTTGGACATTTACAATTGTGACTCGCATACAAAATGCCACTAACNATTTTTTGATCAATCATCATACTTTCCCTCTGTTATGTATTAACAGCTGGGAAAGCAAAGATACAAATGATATTTTTTTATTATTACGAAATGATTTACATTTTTTAAATTCTTTTGAATATCATCTTTCCGTGTCAAAAAAGCAGATTTCTTTTGTTGTTAACCTTTAAGTTAATGACACAGTGACCTTGACTTACACGGCTATGCTTGTTTATATACTGAAAAGAAGGTAAACAATAGAAATTCATAATTATCTTAGGAATTTTTTTTTAAATTTAGTTTAATTTTCTTTGAAAATTCTCTCTAAAAGATTATGGATAATAAAATTTTGCTTTTTATAAAAATAAAATCATCATCCAGAAATTCAACTAAATTAATTTGTTTTAATTGCTGTAAACTAAATATATTAAAAAGATTAAGTAAAGATTCATAGTTGAGCTGTTATAAGTAGGGTCTATCATATAATTCTCCATTAAAAAATCAAACTGAGCTTTAATATATTTTGTAATTAATAAATTCAGGAAAAATAAATATTAGAGACAATTTTGTAAAATACATATATATATATATATATATACTGTATACATATATTAATTCATCACCATATGATCTACATAGTTGTAAAGAACCAGCTATATAGAGTTCATACAACTGATCTTTATGTCAAGTTAATCATTAATATATCTCACGACCTACTCTATAAGAGGATAAACTCTATGAACTCTGAAAACAATTGCATTATATAGAGTTCACCTTATAGCAATTGTAATCTACTTCACCTCCTATAGAAGTTTCTCTCACTGTGTCAAAAGCTAAATGGTTATAAGTAATCAAAAATATATTCTTGAAAAATGTATCAAATGATAGATCAAAATAACTTTAAAACTCCTAAACAATATAAGAACACATTGAGAAATAATTTTAAATACAAAATTCAACAAAAACAAAATCAATTTTAGTATAGAAAAAATTACTTTTTATTATTAAAAATATAAACTAATTTAGCCTTTAAAAAGGACATCATAAAATGTTTTTAATAGGATAAAAATTTTTAAAACTATAAATTGCTTCGTCATCAAAAACTTTCAATTATCGTACTTTAATAGATTAGAATGCTAGATGTTAAGAGTTTACAATGCTTTAATTATGAAATAAAAAAATAACTTAAAATTAAATTGAAAGAAATATTTTTAAATTGAATTAAAAACTGATTTTTTTTCCCCTCAAATTAAAACTTCTGGATTTTTATATTTTTCAAAAGCACTAAACAGGAAAATTTCTTATTTCCAAATTCATGAACAACTCTTAGCATTAAAAATAGTGACTTAACTTTTTAAATTAAATATGACATTAATTTTTCTATAATGTAATTTTACTTCTCGTTTATTTCTATGTTTTCATGCCAAAATGAAAAAATCCCTAATGTTCTAACCTACTCTGCACTTACGTACCATCAATTCACAATGGTTATCACATATTTAAAAAAAAATTTGCATTTTTAGAATTTATTTTAGTTGTTAAAACTTTAATTGGAATATATATTTAAGTCATCATCAAATTTACTTATTATCATTAGTAATTTTATATTATATAGAAATTTGTATATAATACTTACCTTACAAAAATCGATCTGTTGAATTAAAGCATTGATCTCGGGATCGAATAAATCGTGACTAAATATTAATAAAGTCTGTCCGATTCCTTCGGCCTGTCGTAACGATTCGATAAGAGCATACAGATACTGTCCTCTATTATGAACTTGAACAACGATAACAACATCTTTATACAGCAAAGGTCCAAATTTCTGTATATTTAAAACTTTTTGTTCTTTATTTATTTCTTGTATTATTTTTTTTAATTCATATAATGAGGATGGCATAGTATGATTAACAGAGTTTATGATTGCACTAAAATTCGCAAAGAAAGCACTATCCAATTCTCCGTATTTTGCATTGCGGTACAAGAAATCTGGTTTGTAACTAACTATTCGTAGCTGCAGCCATAAGAAAGAGACTATAAATAAAAGAAGCGCAGTCTTCACAACCTGAGTTAGATGTCGGCGCAATAATGCAGTACACAACCGCGCCGTGGCCATTCTTTCATCTCATCTGCAAAAAAGAAAACGATTATTGGGTAAGATAAAATAATTACTTAGAAAGAAAAAGTTACTTCAATATAACTTTAATTATCATTTTATGAAAGTAGTCTTCCTTAATTTAGATTGGAGAACAAGCACTACTCATATAATAAATAACAGCTGTTTATATAATTATCTTAACTATTGAATCTATTAACGTTGATAAATAAAGTACATGTTTAAAAAGATTAAACAGCTGCAGCTTTTCTTGATTAAATTACATACCAAATGCTTTAAAATATTCTATAAATATTCCATGTTAATTGAATTTATTATGTATAAAATGAACAAAAGTATTACTTTAAAATTACATTACATTAATTTAATCAATATTTATGATAAATTATTAATAACTAACTTAAATAAATTTACAGCAAATTACAATTTTCCATAAATTTATTCAAGTTAATTATTAAACATACTTAACACAGAATAAGTGCCAACCGTACCATATTATTTAATAAAA